AATGGGATGGGGTGGGGCTTGGTGTCGAGCACTCCCAGAGAACTCAGGAAGTCGGCACCTCTGTCAGAGTGGACAAAAATGAGCTTTGGCCCAGAGGTGGTACAGGAGGGCTGATGGAGTAGATTGTTACCTTGATTCTGGAGGGGGTCAGGGAAAGATTGTGAATGGAGGCTTGCCAGGAAGAGACAGAGGGAAACTGAGATTGGTGGGTGATATCTTGGCAAAGACAAGGAAATAGGGAAGCAATGTTACAAAGAATATTAAAGAGAAGTCACAGAGGGAGACTGGGACTAGCAGGGCTGAGAATGGGGGGTGGAGAGGAGAAAAGGAGAGACAGATATGATAATGAGGAGACAGGGGAAACAACTGGGACTGACTGAGCGAAGAGCCATTGGAGGCAAAAAGTCTGAGATTGTATCAGAAGACCAGGATAGGAGACAGGCACTGAAAGCAACTAGAGACAAGGAACTTGGGATGGGATGGGGTAACTGGAGATGTGGTAGGAAGAGAAACACAGGGTATGTCTACACAGCAAAGTTATTTTGAAATAACAGCCGTTATTTCAAAATAACTATCCTAGCGTCTACACCGCCCAACAAAAAAAATTTTTTTAAAAAAACCAGCCTTTATTTCAAAATAACTATCCTAGCGTCTACACCGCCATTCCATTATTTTGAAATTAAATCAAAATAGTGGAGCGCTTATTTCAAAATTGGTAATCCTCATTCCATGAGGAATAACGTCAATTTTGAAAGCGCTTTGTAGACACTTATTTCAAAATAGGGGGCCTCCAGCCTTCCCAGGGTGCCCTGGTGGCCACTCTGGCCTCAACCAAGAACACTTCTCTCCCTCCCCCCATCCCCGGAGCCCTTAAAGGGGTTGACTCTGCCCGTAGTGCCTGTGCCAGCTCCAAGCCTGCCAGCCCAGAGCAGCAGTCACTGCCCCTGACCCAGTGGCCCCAAAACATAAGCCAGCAAGCCACTGGCAGCCAGCCCTCCACTGCTCCCCAGGAGCAGTCTGCCAGCTCCCAGGAACTTGCCAGGGCCCAGACAAGGCGGGTGCCTTCCTGGTCCAGGGTGGAGATCATGGACCTTATTCAGGTTTGGGGGGGATGCTCCCAACGTCCATGATCTCTGCACTAGATGGAGGAATGTGGCCATCTATGGCAGGATAGCTGCCAGGCTAGCCACCAAAGGCCGCATGTGAACCCAGGAGCAGGTTCACATGAAAATCAAGTTGGTCCGGTGAGACCCCCAAACCTGAGCCCTGAGCTTCCCCTCCCCCTTCTTCCCTTTGCTTCCCCCTTCCAGCTCCCTCCTCCCAGGTTTCCCCCTCTCCCAACCTCTCTCTTCCCCTCTCCCGCCTCCTTTCCCCAGTCTCACCAGAGTTTCATTCCACCCGCCCCCCCAGTTTTGTTAAATAAAGAGAGTTTGTGTTCATGAATATACGTGTATTTTATTTTACATCAAGAAGGGGGGTTAGGGAAGGGTAAGTGGAAGGACATGAGGGAGGAATGAGGCACAAGCCCCTCCTAGGGCAGTCCAGGGAGGCTCTTAGTGCTCCTCAGGGTGGAAGCTCTCCCGCAGGGCCTCCTGGCTACTGACAGTCCACCGATGGACCTCCAGGATGGCAGCCTGCAGAAAGTGCAGCCAGGCTTACAGCAATGTGTCCAAGAGAAGCACCAGAGTGCCCAGGGGCAGCTCTGACTCCATGTTGCAGAGTGCTGTGGTGTTCCGAGAGAGGGCAACCAGAGCATGCAGAGACAAAATGCTTTGCTGTCCCTCATCGAGGTAGGCAAGCAAGCAGGGAAACCTGAGAACCAGCTGTCCAGGGTGGGTCCCTTTAAGCACAGGCCTGAGATAGCCTCAGGCAGCAGCCATACAAAGTAACTCCTGACCTGATGCCCTGCCGGTCCTGGTTCCGACCGGCCTTAAATGAGATTCGGTGTTCACTCAGTGTGGATGCACTATTTTGAAATAGCAAAAAAAAAAAAAAAAGCTATTTCGAAATGCATTTTATGTGTAGATGTGTTATTTTGAAATAAGCTATTTCGAAATTAGATATTTTGAAATAACGCTGTAGTGTAGACATACCCAGAGGGATTGGGAGTGGGAAGGAACCTAGGACTGTCTGGGCAAGGATACTGGGCACACGGAATGAAAAGTGGACTGTGAGAGGGATTGAGAATGGCTGGGCAAGGAAGCTGGAAGCAGGAACAAAGTGGAAGACAGAGGTGCGGAATCCAGAGAAGGGAGACTAGGCTTTGCTGGGCATAAGAAGAGAAGGTGGTTAGAGTAGGAGAAGGGGTGCTGCTCGCACGGTACAGACAGAACTGGGACTCTTTGGAGAGAAGGAGCAGAAAGTGCCAATCAATACTACAGAGGAAGGGGCTGAATACTTTGTGCCTGCTACAGGACATTCATCTCTAAAATCTGCAACGCACTCCAAGATTCTTGAATCTCACCATCCTTCGTCTGTCAACAAATAGATGTCAAACCTACTGGCAAGATGTCCCAGTCCTTTCTACGGCAGGGCCAGTGACAACCCCGTACTGATACTGTTCACTACACTAGCTCAAGTGAAAGAGATCTGTGCAGTAGAGCTGAAGGTTCCAACCCTGCTAATGATCCACATGGATAGTAATGTGATATCGCGTGATGGAATTTGGTTTTTTTTTTTTCAGTTTACTTTTCTTTTAAAATTGCCTTAAAACTGCAGCATTAAGATGGCACAGTCAAGCACTCAAAAGATAGACAACTTTACTTCTGATATTTCCAATGCAACCTTAACTTGGCCCCTTTGTGCATATGCATTAGGAGGCAATCTTTAATTAAATGATCACATGCTGTTTTTTCTACCCCATTCTGGATCTCAATCATGGTATGCTGAAGGAGGCTGTTGTCACAAAGACCCTTGCCTCACTTGTTTCAGAAGCTGGAAAGTCTGTAGTGAGACAATGTACTGCAGAGAGAAAGAGAAAGGATGATGTCATAGTCAAGTAATATTGCCAGTTTTGGTTGGACATATTCCTACAGGTTTTCTCAGATGACATAATCTTTAATTCCTGAAGACTCCAGGACAATCCTGGAGGGTTGGGAAGTCTATAAGGCAGTTGCATCCTATTCGAGGGAATCAGAGTTTATTTATTTATTTCTGTCCCATCGTTCCTGTGTAATGCTGAGTTATTTAACCCAAACTTTTCACAAGATTGTCAATTAACTGGTGGTTCCTCATTTGCTTGGTAGCCAACCAGAGTCTCTAGGGCAGGGGTGGGCAACATTTTTGGCCCAAAGACCACATCAGGGTATGGAAATTGTAAGGAAGGTCATTAGGGTTAGGGTGCGGGAAGGAATGCAGGTTCTGGGGGTGGCGCCAGAAAGGAGGAGTTCAGCGTGTGGGAGAGGACTCCAGTCTGGGGCAGGGAGTTGGAATGCAGGGAGGGGGAGGGCTCTGGGGTAGTGCCGGGCCTGAGGGTTTGGGGTTGAAGGAGAGCACTCTGGGCTGGGACTAAGGAATTTCAAAGACAGGAGGGGGGTCAGGGTTGGGGTCAGGAAATAGGGGGTTTAGGAGTGCAGGCTTGGGCTGCTCTTACCAACTCAAGCAGCTTCCAGAAGCAGCAGCATGTCCCTCTTCCAGTGAGCTCCTCCAAGGCATGGCCAGTAAGCTCTGTGTGCTGCCTTCACTCCACAGGTGCCACCCCTGCAGCTCCCACTGGCTGTGGTTTCCAGCCTCTGATTCAGAGGCAGCTGCATGCGGGGAAGAGTGGGGGGAAGGAGATGGGTTGGGACTGTATGTAACTGCACATTAACTGATAAGCCCAGGCTCATTGGTCAACTATGTACACGTTTACACTTTCACATCCACAGAATACACTTTCCATCAATTATGTACTTTACCCGGGTTTCCTGTTTATTTAGTATCTATCATTTCAGAAATCTATTAAGGCTCTAAGGAAGTATAGTATATTCAAATAGCAATACAGCCAGAAATGTTTCTCTGTCACCCCTGCCCCTGGTATCAAGATGAATGTATGACCAAAACCAATGCAAGCAGGTATTCCTTTTAAATTGAAGCCATAATGTGTTAACGAGGAATAATCTCTTAGGGTTTTTGCAGGATGAGTAACGGTAGTTCGAATTAGGAGCTTTAGTTCGAACTACCTAGTCCGTGCCACGTGTAGCTGCAGGCAGGGAGTTCGAACTATGGGGCATTTAAAAATGGCGGCGCCCGGGAACATGCAAATAAAGCCCGGGATATTTAAATCCCAGGCTTCATTTGCAAGTTCGAATGACTACATTAGCCACCCTAGTTCGAACTAGGGTGGCAGTGTAGACATACCCTTACAGTGATTAGTTAACTTTACAATATTGCATTGCTCCACCCATAATAATAGCACTGTTTATCACAGTGTTTCAACTATAAGTAATTTTTACAAGGTAGAAAAGGCCTGTTCAAGGGCCTTACTGCTTGGAGGTGCTGAGTGTCCTCCACTGCCACTGAAGGAAGGCCCTCATTCAGCAAGGTACGTAAGTGTATGCCTAACTTTAAGCACACAAATAGTTCCACTGAAATCAACATTAATGTGCTTAAAGTTAGACAAGATACTTCAGTATCTTGATAAATCAGGGTCTTTCACCCAGCTTCTCACAGGTAGTTAGGTTCCTAACTTCTGCTGAAATTAGTGGAAGTGAGGAGCCTAAATACATTTGTGGATCTGGGCCTTAGTGCCTAATCCAAAGTCCATTGCACTCGGAGTATTTCCATTGATTTCAATGGAATTTGGATCAAAATGTAATGAAAATGAAGGGACTGATCGTCTTGTGGGTGGTATACAGTACTCTATATGACCATGCCCAAAAATGAGATTGAATCCTAGGAAAAGTTAGGGCCTAGTTCTGCTTGCAGTTATTCTATGCATGGGTAGAGTCACTCCAAGGGAGTATAATGAAAACCATTAGGTAATGCTGTTCTAATATCAGGATTGCACATTGTGATTACAGGTTACATCCAAGCCTGCCGAGGACTCATGATTGCTGCTGTCTCTCTTGGATTCTTTGGCTCCGTCTTCGCTCTCCTTGGGATGAAGTGTACCAAAGTTGGAGGCTCAGACCAGACAAAAGCTAAAGTCGCTTGTTTAGCTGGGATGATTTTCATACTTTCTGGTAAATATTCAATTCTAACTTAAAATATGTATTTCAAATAACTTAAGACCTCATCCTACTCCCATAGAAATAAGTGGCACAACTACCAGCATCTTCAGTGGCAGTAGGATTAGGTTCATAATTATTATATTGATTCTCTGAATGATTTATTCATCTGGTGCATTTTAGGGTTGTGCTCTATGACTGGTTGCTCCCTGTATGCGAACAGAATTACATCTGAATTCTTTGACCCTACCTTTATTGCACAAAAGTAAGTACTTTTTCATGCCCATGAATTTTAGATCTTAGATTGCTTAGAAAACATACCAAAGTATGTTTGTAAAGAAAGTAGACGTTCCTAGTCCAGACACAAGAGAAGTATTGGATCTGTAACTTTCCTTTTATTACTCAAATGCAAAATATGACACGTATACAGTAAACTTACTGGTGAATTTATTGACTAACAAAATCCATTACTTATGTCAAGCCTTTCCATATCACTGGTTAAGCAACCATCTCTCTCTGCCTAAGTCTTAATGACATAAGCATGTTTTATAGCAGGTACAGAGGAGTGATTCAGTGTAGCTGACCTGATTCTTGTTTATATTTATGTCACAGATTCAGAAGAAAATTTTCAGATGATTTATCAGAAGTCAGAGATACCCATTGGACAGATAATTCAATATTCAGCAATGAATGAAACAGAAATGTTCTCTTATGAACCTTTCATAGACGGTTTGATTTTCACAAAGGGATAAAACATGACCATAAATTCTAAACCATCTTGCCAATATTTCCTAAAAGTATTCTTTATGGCAAAATTTGGCTTATTAATTCATATTTAAGCCATGCTCCTATCATTACTAACATATATTTAATTTTAAATCAGTGGATCTTAAAGTTACACAAGTGTGTTTTTTGTAGGACTGGGAGGGACATAAGGCACATAAATATATATAAATGACATTATCAGAAGAGATCTGAAATTTTTCAGTTAAAACAATGAATACTGCATGTGCTGAGCACCTTTGAAAATCAGACAATTTATAGTTAGGTAACTTAGTATGGATTAAGGGGCCAAATTTCAGACTGCAGACTTCTTGTGCAAGAAGTTTTTTGCGGAAGAGATCGTCTGCAAAAAATTATTGCGCAAGAGCATGTCAGCTCTGCAAAACCGCATCGGAAAAGCAATGAGCTTTTGCACAAGAGAGCATCTAGACAGCAAGGACGCTCTTTCACAAGAAAGCTCTGATTCCCATTAACAGAATGGCCACCAGGGCACCCATGGTTCTTTCGATAGGCTGTTTTTTCACAAAAAACGCCTGTTTCCTGTCCACACACACCTTTTTGTGCAAGAGCTCTTGTGCAAAAAGGCTTATTCCTCATAGAAAGAGGAATAACTATTGCACAAAACCCCCTTCTGATTTACAGTAAATTTTCTTGCACAAAACACGCTTGCAGTGTGGACTCTCCGCGAGTTTTTGTGCAAAAACTCTGAGTCTAGACGTAATCTCAGATTTGGAAATGTTGACCTTAAATTATGTCTCATAGATTTTTCATTTTCTTTTGTAATTTAACTTTATACTTAAAAACAAGAATTTCAGAAACCCTCTCCAGCATTTCCAATTTAATTCCATTCAAGCAACTCAACAGAAATCTCCTTAGTTCCCAGCATAAATTCCATTTGGCAAAAGGAACACTTAACATTGTCTGTCTTCTAGGTAAATACCTCCTCCTTATTTTAACTAACTTAAGATCTTTACTGAGATTTGTATCAGTGCTGGGATTTCCACTCGTTCTTTTTTTCTCTTGTTGAGTTAATATTGGTATTTTCATACTTCTGCCACAAGCTCTGCCTGTCTCACTCATTATCAGTGTCATCCAAAAACTGCTGAAATGAATGGGAGCCAATGCCACTGGCAGTGTGATGGAGTGCTGTCTGGATAGCCTTGTGGTAATTTTCCGTTAGGCTCACACTTACTGAGGCCATTTCTCCACCTTCTGGATGCTTCGAATATCAATCTCTCAGGGGTCGATTTAGTGGTTTAGTAAAGACCCTCTAAATCAGGCCTGGGCAAAACATCTTCCATGGGCCAGATCCAGTCCGCCAAGCCACCGGATCCGACCCGCAGACACATCAGGGAGCTTCCAGGCAGACTCCCCTGCTTGCCCCACCCTGGCATGCCACTCAGAAAAGCAGCAGCTGGGCCATTTGTGTTTCACAAACTGTGAGCAGTGGGGAGTGGAGCTTCCGGTTTTTGGCCAATGGGAGCTGCCTGTTTCAAGAGCAGTCAGCGTGCGAAGCACCACTCCCCTCTCCTCTCAGGCTCTGCAGCTGAAGTGGAGGCAACGAAGACTCCTACCTGAGAAACATGATGGACTGTTGGCCGGGAGTCTCACAGGTAAGTCTCCTGGCCAGAGCCTCTCTCTGGGACTCCAGCTCCTCCCTCCCCCCAGTCCTCTGCCCCCCCACTCCTGGCCTTCCTACCCCACATAAGCCAAACTCTCTGCCCCCTTCTAAGCCCATACCCCCTCCCAGACCCTGCACCCTAATCCTCTGCCCTAGGTCACAAGCCAAACCCCTGCACCCTCTCCTGCACCTTAGTCCCCTACTCTAGGTCACAACCCAAACCCTGCATCCCAATCCCCTGCCCTAGGTCACTACCAAACCCCTGCACTGTAATCCACTGCCCTACATCACTACCCAAACCCCTGCACCTCCTGCACCCCAGTCCCTTGTCCTAGGTGACAACTACCTCCTGCCTTAGGTCACAACCCAAACCCCTGCACTCCAATCCCATGCCCCAGGTCACAACTGCCTCCTTCACCCAAACTCCCTCTAGACCTCACAGGCCCTCCTGCACCCCAATCCCTTACCCCAAGTTGTCTTCTGCACCCAGTCTCCATCCCAGACCTCACACTTCCTCCATTAATATAATGGAAGAGTGTGGGCCTCGACCACTTTTCAAAAGTGGAGTGGCCCCCCATCAAAAATTACAGCCCACCCCTGCTCTAAATTGACTGCTGATCACGCTCCTGTCAATTCCAGTACTCCACTGAGCCGCAAGAAGTAAGAGAACTTGACTGGAGACTTTCTTCCATCGACCCCCCACAGCTGGGATGCTGCAGAAATTTGAACTATGATATGTTAATTCCAGCTGCACTAGCTGGAGTTGCATGCCTCAGTTTCTCTTTGCCCCTAGTGTAGACCTGACCTAAGGAAAAACACCCTCCTTATTGCTGGAATTCCCACAGAAGGATGTTGCAGAGGCAATCCTGGCAAGCAAACAGCAACTGCCTATGTAGGTGTTTTCTTCTAGAGGCAGGCAGATTTTCTTCTGGGAAGTATGCACTGCATATCTGCCCCGGCAGAACCATTGTCACTCTTGTGTACAGCAGGTTGTTTTCATCATTCACAGCTCTCCATGAAGTTTTAAGGGTGCTGGCACCCTGTCAAAGTTTTGGAAGAGCTATATAAGCCAACATAAATAAATCAGATGTTAAGGTGTGTCCAAGGCAACCACTGATGACATGGATGACTGTATTTTGCTCCAAATCAACGAAATGTGAATGCTAACTTCTGCCCCTCAACAGTTGTACAGTATTTCATTGGAGGAAATACTAGCTCCAGTACTGAGGTTCACAGAACATTTGCCCCTCCTTCTCAGGAAGGCTCTGCTAGCTTCTGGATGAAGGCAGTGCAGGAAGCAATTTTTTTTCTTTATATGTTCTAGATGAGGTCAGTACATTAGGCTGTGGTCCAGTCTGACTCTTTAGTAAGTGACAAATGTCTGGCAAGGGAGTGGATGATCCTGAGCATAGAGTGAAAGGATTGACCTGGTGATTGTTCACATGGAAGGCTGTGGCCACCATCTTAGAGCTATTTAGTATACATCTCCTCTGATACAGATAAGCAGCCAAAGCATTTGTGTCCTGGTTGTCTTTGGTATTATGTAGGTCATTACATACATGAGCAAAACTGATTTCATCTGCATACACATACTTATTGGCCTTAGTTGTTGGTAGGGTTGTAAAGATATAGATTAGGAGAGGAACTAGAATGGATCCTTGCAGGAATCCATTACAAAGACGCCTGGACTGACTGACTTTGTCTCCTGTTTGCAAGATGAAATTAGATTCATTATTATTTGCATGATGAACCACACCAGGGACCTCCAGGGAATAGTCTGCAGAAATGTGGCAGTCAGTCACATGCCAGACAGTGGCATATGCAGCTGAAAAGTCCACTAGACTTCTTGCTCTTCTCAAAGGCATCATCAATGTCTTGTTAGGCAATTGATTTGATTTTGTGCCAACCTGCACAACTGTGGGCAACTGTACTTTGATAATATGGCTGATACACATCAGACTTAATCTATCCATAAAGTTGGCTGTTAACATAAAGGAAGGAGCTGGGTTAGTAGCCCTTTGGCTCTTGCAGCAGTTTTTTCTACTTTCAGAATGGCTACAGCTTTTGTCTGCATTAGATTTTAGGATTCAATTGTTTGGGAAACATTGAGAAATGGAAGCAGCTAGATTTTGTATTTTGAATCTCGGTGAATGTTATCCAGGCCTGTCTCCTCCTAAGCTTAATGGCCAGTGTAATGGGGCATCACTCACCACAGGGGCGCCTCTGCTGGTAATCCTGGGAATTAGCTCTGGTTCGCAGATGTGCCTTCATCTAGTGGCATTTCCCTTCCTTCTCGTGTCTTCAGGACCACAGTGTCTTCTTCTGGATACAACCCTCCAGCTGTACCTCACTCGGTTCTCTTCTCCCTTAAAAGGAGTCAGCTGTCCTCTGTCCAACTACTTTGCCTCAGTATCAGGCTGTAGTCCATACTCTCCTGAGTGGCAAGTGGGGCGGGAACTCAAGCCCACCTTCTACTCTAGGTCCCAGCCCAAGGACTCTCTAGCTGGCAGCTGTGTGCTCTGTCACCTCTTGCTCCTGCCTTCTCTTTCCCCAGGTCACTTCCCCACAGCCCTAGCACCTTCTCTGCCCTTGTATCAGGATGTCAGTCAGGAAGCCATCAGCTGAGAGCTCACTCATGCTTCCCTGTCCCTGCCCAGCACTGCTCTATCCATGGGGCTGTCTCTTCTCTCATGCGACTTGATCTCCTGGTGTGTTTAGAATCTGTGGTGGACGCCAAGGTCTCCAAAGACCATAGAGATGCTGGGTGGTGCAGAAGGGCAGCAAGATTCCAGGGATTGGTTTGGTCTCCCCACATGCATGGCCTGTGCCAGGGAGATGCACACTGGAGATGGGAAACAGTA